GAGCTGGGAGTCCTCCAACATTTTTAAATATAGATTCCTTTCCAAATATACTGCGAATTGAATTGGAATGTTGAAGGGAAAACTGTTGTTTGAGGAAAAAATATTCGGTCCAAGGGAACACAATCTGAGCAACTGCTGCAAAACACTGTGTTTTACAGCATTTTGTTGGATCTCTAATCCCTTGAAATGTCCAATTTGAAACCCCTGAAACCTAGAATCTGGAGATCAGAATCCTTGAGATGTCTAATGTTGGATTCTCCAAGCCTCATAATTTGGAGCCTGGAGTCCAACATATCCAAGTACACATTCCTTTCCAAATACGATTTTGATCCGAATTGAATTTGCATATTGAATAGAATTTAGTAAGCACATAGTTCACCACCATTCATAATTCACCATAATGTCTATATTAGATCAGAATTTGAACAGGAATACCTTTCCAAATAAGGAAAATATGATTGCAGTAGAATCCAAATATACTTTAATGCAGACAGAATTCAATTAGCTTTTGAACATAATAATTTAATCAAGAATCCATCCCCAAATACAGCTTGAATTGGAATATAGCTTATTCTGGAAAGAAATCACTTGGCCTTTGCAATCAAATTTTAATAGTAACTCATTCCCAAATATGATTTAGCTTAAATGTGGCTAAACAAATAAAGGGCACATATCCCCAGACTCCCAAACTTGGTCTGGAGATGTGTTTGGCATGTGCAGGTCTCAGAGCTTTCATTTTTAGGAGATTTTGTGCTTTTGGGTCTGTGCAGGTTGCAGAGCTCAAAGCTGCCAAAAACATCATTTTTTCAATGTTTTTCCCTCGTGTACTCAAAAACCACTGTAAAAACCAGTGATTCAATCAAAGCCAGGCTCGAATCTGAAAACGGAATCCGTTTTCGCTTTGCTGCCTTTCAAGCCTCAAATAATCAGACATTTGCTGTCACATAGAAGGTAAAAAAACAACAAAAACACTGTATTTTACAGTGGTTTCAGGCATCTGCAAGAAAGAGGCACACAGAGTAGAGTTGACACCTTCAACTAAAAGAGGGCAAAGGTAGGCCCTGGGGGGGGGGGTGACCATATATATATATATATATATATCATGTTGTTGGCTTGCAATTCTGGGAATGCGCCCCCTTTCTCCATTTCAGGGAATTCGGCCTGCTAACGCATTGGAAGCCAACTCGCGATAACAAGCCCGAGACAGAACGCAAACCAACGGAACACAACTAGCTCCTAGAAACAAGCCTTCACCGCATCAAAGCAAGCTCCAAAACCCAACCACTTCAAAATTGGTGATTTGACAGGTTCCCCTTCGTTCGGCCAGTCACGCAAATCACATGGGGGGGCGGTCGTTTCCAGATCAAGTTAGCGTCGCAACGCTTAGAGTCGCTCCTATGATCTAATCACCTGCGGCGCAAGGGCCTCGGCAGATTTAATACCCTGGAGCAATTGTGTGTTTGATTCTTGCCACGGAGAGAATTGCAATGCCCACTTGAATTCGAGGCATCGCTTCCTCAGGTCAGGACTGTTATAATAAATCTGGTGAATTAGCAGTAGCTCGAAGCACTAAGGATGGGTATCCACCCTTTTGCAGATTTTAGCCGAGTGTTCACAATGGGGCCTGCTGGACCCTTTTGGCTCAATGGACTTTTCAGGCCGCGAGAGCCTCCTGGAGATGTACTCCGAGGACATTGCTGAGCTACTGGGCGTGTCAGCTGACGCGGGAAGCGTGCAGAACATTCGTGTGAAAACCAAACGCAAATCCAGGCATTCTTGGCAGCGCAGGAAGCGCGGGTGATTCATCGAATCATTGATTTTGTCCTGTGTGTTTGGCCGGAAATGATGACCATTACGAAAGACTGCGGCAGCCTTACATAAGGCATATTTCGGAACTAGATGACGCTGAAGGGTATTTGATGTTCACATGGTGTGGCCGTCGTTGGTTCAGATGCAGTTCCGGCTCTTGCATCACTTTGCCTTCTCTCCGCCAAGTGTCACTTTGAATCCAAGGTTCTCTGTGCCTGTGGGCCTCCAAGACAAAGAGGACTCCGGGGACCATGAAGATGTTGGCCTGCCTTGAAGGGGCCCGAACAGGGCGGCCCACGGTCCGCGTGTCTACCATTATTTTGCCAAGAGTCAAGATATTCAAGATACAAGTGTTGCAGATCCGCCATGTGTGCAAAGTAGCTTAGTGGGCAGAGGCTATGACGTCATGGGCTTGGCTGGTAATTGGCTTGACTGAACTTTTCCTGCAACCGTATGGTAAACCCCCAACCCCAGCAAAAGGTTTGACTTGCACCGGGTCAAAGAAAATAGAATAAAAGATGTAAAAGGAGGAGGGGCAGTGTTTGCGCTGGAAAACATTCCCATCACTCGCATCCAATAGATTCACCACCCCGAGAGTTCTACAAGGCGAGTGAGCCCCAAGGGCACATTGTCCTTCGCCCGGCAGGCGCTGGAGCCGCGCTTTGTGAACTGGATCGTGTGACAATTTGCGGCCATGGACCAGAGGTTAATCTCGAGATGGGAAATGTCTCAAGCAGATGGGGAAACGTGAGATATCGTGAGATACTGGGACAAAATTCCGGAAGATGTTCAGTAAGAGAAGCGCGCCAGTTTGGAAGAGAAGGTCTTGACACATTGAAGCCCGAATCAATCAGTTCATAGTCCAGACGTTTCAAAGGTGAGCTGCTGAATTAAGAGTCAATAAGTTTAGCTGATTCGTTGCAATGTCACTTCAAGCAATGCCGTGCATGCGCGATGCATGGGCTCGGTCTCACTCAGAATTTGCTGCAAGCAAAGAAGGAAACGGAAGAGCTCGGTCAGAGAAAAACAATGCAACAAGACCCCGACGCAGGAAGGGGTTGATGGACAAGTTGCTGCAAGAGGGAGCTGTTGCAACTCAAGTGACATCACCTATGTACACATTTTCCCAACGCTTAGCCGGCCTTTTGAAGCACAGTGGGGGCGGTTGCTGAAGTGCTGAAGTATTGGTAGCGTGGAGTTCAAAATAAATCGGTTGCAGAAACCATTGAGTGTGTTGTTTTCTACTCGGTCAAGGAAGCGTTGGACAAGGCAAAACCATTCTGCCCGCTGCAAGCAGCGGCTGGAAGAGCGTGCCTGGATCGATGCGTTTCAACACATAGCTCAAGCATGTGCGGAAGGGAGTCCCTAGAATGAAGTATCCCCAGTTTCCGTGCTGGTGTCCTTTGTTCTCTATTCAAGCAGTAGGGGGATTCCGCATTTTGAGACATATCCACTGGTTGGTCAGAGATGTCATGAAACCGCATGAAACCGGTTGTGACTTTTGAAAGGAGCACTGTCAGGACACCGTTTCAGATTGGCTGCAGTAAAACTCCCTGGGCGTGGGCACGTTTATCTTGCTCAGGCAGAGTTCAATCTCTAGAGAATGTCAAAGCCTTTGATCATCGTAGCTATTGGCGGTGGCGCGGACCTCATTTGAGTGCTTCGCAATGCGGAGACCAGCTCAGGAACTTGCCTTTTGGAGCGTCAGCTGATCGCAGATGGATTAGGAAATGGGAAAGCCATATGCAACATAAGCACCCTTCTGTCGCAGGTTTTGCAAGCAAGCGCATTCCGACTCCCTCGTGTGAGCCTTTGGGAGGACCCTGACAATTCCTCAGGAATGTGTCAACACGATGTCAACACGGAATGGTTTCACAAGATCAAAGGACATCATTTGCGCTTTCGCCAGGCTCTAAACCAGAAGCTCCAGAAGCACGGCTTGAGTGCCTGAGCCTGGCAGCCAGCCCAGAGAAACACCAACGGCTACCTGTTTGACCTGATTGACCTCATGTTCCTTCGTAGGAGCCCTTGCCGGTTCCAATTGTGCTTCTGGGAGAGCAAGCTGACAAGCCCAAAAGAACAGATACAAAGAATGTCTGCTTGTTTTCAAGACGGTTCCCAAATAGTGATATGGGTTCGCCCAAGGGTACTTTGCCTATGTTGAATCAGCTCAAACCTTTTTGCAACATGGAGCACGAGCCCAAGCCCATAGTCAATGAGAGGTCTGGGAAGAGCCACTCAGGCAAGGTCAGGTTTGCTGCCTGTGGGGGATGTTCATGCAGAGAGTGACAGGATCATCAAAATGCATAAACAGTCAGCGTTAGTTTTTTTTCCAGAGAAGGCTCAAATTGAGCAAATCGGACAGCCATGAGGGCAGCTGTCAAACTCTTGCACTTCAGAATACATCCTACTGACAGCAAGCCGCGCACGGTTGCCGGCCTGCAGGCGAAACGAAGTGGCAAATGCCTTTAGAAAGTCGAAAAGCGACGAAGGGCATTCGCCTTTGGCACGGTTGATTCCGGGCAGGAGCAAGCCATTTCCCACACTGGTTATACTTGCAAAATAAACCGTTGTGTGCGATAAATGCCCCGCTTGTGTTCTCAAAGTAGTGCGAAGTATATAAGGGTGAATCCGTCGCCGACCCATCGCACGAGCTCCGGATGATTCCCTGCGGCATTTCATGCTCATAGAGTTGCTTTGTTGTGACTATGCAGTGGGTAAGCAAGAAGCGGACCGGCGTTGCAGTAGCAAGCCAAAAAAATCCTGAACCACCTTTCTAGAGACCTGAGTTTGCTTCGCAAATTGGCAACAATGATCGTTGCCCCAACCTTGCCGCTCCTCCTTCTTTGTCACACTGCTTTGGCCACCATATTATAGGGAAGCACGGTATCCCTCCAATCCCGGATTCGAGGGTTTGTTGACTAAAAAAGCGAGGCAGGCTCCTCAAACTAATGAAGGCTGCTTGATGAAAAGACGCTGCCAGCCCAAATCAACCAGATATTTGTGAATCTGGGGTCCCCGGAATTGAACTGGCTGACCAAGCGACCAAGCTGCGACCCCAGGGCCAGCTCCAGAGTATCCAAACCAAGAAGAGTTAGAGACACTCAGAATTCTACCACATTGGGTTTTAGGTCCCATCACGGTTGGGTCCAATGTTTGCCATATGACTCATGTTATTACGACTCGTGTGACTCGTGTGATAGGTTTCCACGTTGCAATGCGCCATGGCCCGATGGCTGGCGACATTCTGCCGATGGCTGTGGAGTGGCTGGGTCAGGGTGGACGAGCGATCTCCGAGCTTTTCCTACTTCCTGCTCTTCCTGCGGATTTACCATGTCCGCGCCTGAGCCGTTTTCTGAAAAAATGCGCAAGCTGGTGCTTGCGTCCAGATTCAGAGAGTTGAGTTGATGGTTTGTTTTTTTTGCGGCCGCGACCCTTTTATGAGCTGTAGCTTTGAGGAAAGGGATGCAGAAGCCTAGTTGTTGGGTCCCCCAGCAAAGCTGTGCCGAACCAGTACACAAGTTATGGCCACATGGTTGCCTGTGTTGTGTGCAGCGGCAGGTTTGGTGCATGCTGCTTGGGCTCTTCATGGCGCTGACGGTTCTCATGCAGGCCTTCCCAACAGACATGAATTCAAGATGTCAAGAGATTCCGGAAACCGGTTTAATAGTCACCCAATGCTTCACTTAGGGTGGTTCGTGCCAGGAAATTGAGCAAACTGTTGCCGCTGAGGAGGTTCGCTGCCTTTGGCACGCGAAGGTTTGGGAGGTGTTTGGACACTGCGTCACTTCAAGCTACATTCGTGGGATAGGACCATTCGGATACCTTGTGGCAGCGCACTCACTCTTGGTTTCCCGCGTCTCAACTTTAAAAGCTAGCATGCTATCAACACATCCCGAATACAGCAAGCAACCAACCATCAAACTGAGCCCAGTCCAATGTAGAGAAGCAATTGGAAGGTTGCGCATCAGAATTGTTCATTTCCCACTTTCATGCCTGGTTCCATTATGTTGTCCTATTGTTTCCTCAAATTAAGTTTCTCATGCTGCTAGCTCGATGGTGTTCCACTCTGGATCTTTGAAAAGGCCTTTGTGAGTCGTTGATGAGGCAAAAAAAACTCGCCATAGATTGGCGTGAGGGGTTCATGAAAACAGCGCGGGATCATTTGGGCGATCTGTTTGCAATGCTCGAGGTAACGCTGACGATGTACATCGAGTTGATGTCAAACAGCTGGATGTCTGCGGAGGAAAATTCTGGGTTCGCCCTTCTGGCAGCCTGTGCGGTTCTCAGAGGATGGTTTCAAGCACGGCAATTCAGCGGGTTGGAGTGACGTGAGAGCATGAGTCGGCCATAGTTAAGTGGGCCACGAGTGGGCAAAATTGCAATAGTTATTGGTTGACCATAGCATTCGCCTCGGGTGCATCATCCAATTTTTGGCAGCATGTGCATTTCACTTGGGCGAAGTAGAGATACCTCACAACATGAGGCTAAAACGATCCCAACTATTTTGGTTTGGAGCAGCCAGATATCACACAAGGTGTAACCCCCTGAGTTTGAGTTTTTGTCCTCCCGAACCGATCGGGAGATGAGTGCCTTGGCGTTTGCCAGGTCTGGCTTCCTTGCTGCTTCTGAGCCTTGGCATTGGCCAGGGGGTCGTCAAAGTGAGGTCCGCAAGGGACGAACTAATCTGAGGGGGCAGGCGACTGAGGCGACTCCCCTACATGCATGGCGGTAACTTTGCGGAGAAGGGTGCCCAGGCCCTGTCCAAAGTCCGGACAAAATGTTGTCCCAGTTCATTTGAAAGCCTGGAAGCTGCAAAGCTAGGGAGTCACGGCTTGACGCCGCCTTGCCAAGGCGCGTCCTGACGGCTTTTACACTATCATGGGCCCAAAGCAGCGTGTCCGGTATCATGGGCCCAACGCAGCTGGGAGCATGTGTTCGGATGAAGTGTTGGTATGTAACCTTGTGCAGTCGCACAGATGTGCTGATCAATTGGCTGGCGGGCGTGACCGTGTGCAGTGGTACAGGTGTGCTGATCATTTGGCTGGCGGGAAGCGTGACCTTGTGTAGTGTAGTCGTACGGGGAGCGTGTCCGGTTTGCTTGTCGTTGGCTGGCAGACCTTTTCAACATTGTTCAATCATGACCGAGTGTTTTTAGCTATGCTTATCATTTGGCTGGTGTCCAGCAATTTTGCTGATGGAGGGCCTATGTGGGAAAAGTTAGAACCGCGCTTGTTTTTCAGCGAGCACAAAAGTGCAACAGAAAGATGCGTGAAAGGTCAAACATGGACGTTGGTGCGACGGGTCAGCCTCCTGGCGAAAGCAACAGGACTCGGGGGCATATACAGCTTATTACGAACGATAATTGCCCCACAAGCAAGTGTTCCATATAAGAAGCCTTGCTTTTTGAATCCTAAACTTGGCATTTGCTACTAGCTGGCAGCTGCATATTATCCATTCGGTAAATAGCGGGTCGAAGCAATGTGCTAGCTAAAGTTTTAATGTTGCGCGTTGTCGGCACCTAAGGAAGATGTTTGCGCACTTGTGCAAGCTGCACACCCGCGCGCAGACTGAGGAATGCTGGGACAAGGCTTTGCTATTCGGCGGTGTGGCTGATTCGCGATGCCTGGCGTGAGGATTCCTTCTTGGCCTTCCGATCGCTGGTGCTGCCCCTTGCCGCCGTTGGAAGGGACAAAATCTACCTTTGAGCCATGACTCCGGTCTTCAGTGAAACTTCGAATCAGAAACTTGGGTCCCCGATTCAGAAACTTGGAAACTTGGCCGGCCCGAACTTCAGTCAGTCGGGTGCCACGATCGCTGTCTTTTGGCACTGACCTAATATACAAGCCTTCCACATGGTGAGAACCGCTTGAGTGTACCCCTCAGCGCTGCACGCAGGCCTGGCAAATGATAAGAACACCCTCTCGCGTGCACCCGCGCACATGCCTGCCAAATGGTAAGAATTCCTGCACCCACTCAGCACCGCACACATGCCTGCCAAATGCAAAGAACACCTGCACCCACTCAGCACTGCAGACACATGCCTGCCAAATGGTAAGAACGCCCGCTTGAGTGTACCCTCAGCACTGCACGCATGCCTGACAAACGGTAGGAACACCTGCACCCACCCAGCGCTGCACACACGCCTGCCAAATGGTAAGAACACCTGCACCCACTCAGCACTGCACACATGCCTGCCAAACGAACACCTGCACCCACTCAGCACTGCAGACACATGCCTGCCAAATGGTGAGAACGCCCGCTTGAGTGCACCCTCAGCGCCGCAGGCATGCCTGCCAAATGGGAAGAACGCCCGCTCGCGTGCACCCGCTCAGCGCTGCACACCAAACGGTAAGAATCCCTGCACCCACTCAGCACTTCACACCTGCCTGCCAAAGGGTAAGACACTCGCGAAGCACTGCGCATGCCTGCCTAAGAACACTTGCTCAAGCGAGCCCGCTCAGCATTTGTACACGCCAACCAAACGGAAAGAGCACCCACGATAAGAGCACGCGCGTGCAACCTCAGCACTGCACACATGCCTGCCACATGGTAAGGAGCCCGCTCCAGCGCACCCGCTCAGCACCACGCACATGCCTGGCAAATGCTAAAAACGCTCGCGAAGAACTGCGCTCATGCTTGTCAGATGGTGAGAATGGTCGCTCGGGCCTGCGAAAGGGTGAGAACACCCGCTCCAGCGCACCCGCGCATTCCTGCCACATGTTAAAGACCCGCTTGAGCGCACTCGCTCAACACTGCGCGCGTGCTTGCCAAATGGTAAGACCCCCCCGAGCGCGCCCGCTCAGAGCTGCACACATGCCTGCAAACTGGTCAGAACCCACGCGCGAAGCACTGCGCATGCTTGCGTAAGAACACTCGCTCAAGCCAGCCCGCTCAGCATGCGCGCGTGCCAACCAAATGCCAAGAGCACAAGAAGTGTGCCCGCGAAGCGCTGCACACATGATTGACACATGAAAACAGCACCCGCGCACGTCAGCGCTGCACACTTGCCTGCCATGGTAAGAAGCCCGCTCAAGCGCACCCGCTCAGCGTCTGGCGAATGCTAAGAACGCCAAGCCCACCCGCGAAAACACTGCGCGCATGCCTGACGCACATGCCTGCCAAATGTAAGAATCCCCGCTTGAGGCTACCAAATGGTAAGACCGCCCGCTCAATCAAGCGCAGCCGCTCAGCATTGCACTTATGCCTGCTAAAGGGCAAGAACACCAGCTCCACACCACACATTCCTGCCAAATGGGACACCCGCTCGCGCGCACTCGCTCAGCGCTGCACACATGCCTGCCCGATGAGTGTGAAGAACACACGCCTACCAAATCGTAACACACAGAATTGCGCATGCCTGCCAAATAGTCCAGATGGTACGAACACTCAAGCACACATGCCAGCCAAATGCGCTCTAGCCCCCCCCCGTCTTGCGTGCCCGCTGCTCTCTCTCTCGCTCTCTCTCGCTCTCTCTCTCTCTCTCTCTCTCTCTCTCTCTCTCGCTCTCTCTCTCTCTCGCTCTCTCTCGCGCCCGCTCTCTCTCTCTTTCTCTCTCTCTCTCCCTCTCTGTCTCTCTCTCTCTCTCCCTCTCTCTCTTGTTAAAAACAGATTGTTGTTTACGACAAGCGCAAGTGCTGTAATGACCCCACGGATGTAGTAAAGCCCAAGGCCTGCCGTCATGCACAAGCTATGTAGCACAACACCACATGTGCATTGACATCTCTCTCTTTCTGTCTCCTTGTTTGCCTGTCTCTCTGTCTCTCTGTCTTTCTCTCTCTTTCTCTCTCTCTGTCATTAAAAGGAATGTCTGCCACATACGCACGCTCAAGCGCCGCTCAGAATTGCAAACACTCCTGCCAAATGGAAAGAACGCCTGCCCAAGTGCACCCGCGCAGAAATGCACTCATGCCTGCCACACGCGAAGAACACCCGCTTGAAAATGATAAGAAACCTGCCCAAGCGCCGCCCTCTCAGCGCTGCATGCCCAATGGTCAGAACACCCGCTCAGCTCTGCGCACATGCCTACCAAATCGTGCAAAATGGTCAGGGCCCGCCAGTCAAGAAGCCCGCCCAAGCGCACCTGCTCCGCGCTGCGCCCCGCTACGCACAACTGTTCAAAAACTGCACAAACACCCACTCAGGCTCCCACACACACACATGCCTGCCGAATGCCTGCCAAATGGCAGCTGCATTTTGGGGGAAGCGCATGTTTGACAAAAACTTGAGGGGTTCAATAGTAACTTAGTATTGGTGGGCTTAAGCACAGACTACGCAAATACTAAGCAAGAAGGAAAGCCCATTTTCGGTACCTTTAATCAGGGGGGGTTTTGGGGAGGGCCCAAAAATAATTGGGTATGGTTTTTTGGGGAAACCTTGTTGGCCCTTTACTTGAGAACCTGGGGGGGAAAAGTGGAATCCTTTAATCGGGGGGGTTTACTTATCGTCTCCTGACATTAATTGTCCAGATTCAACTTCGGAGTAGACACGTTAAAGGGAAGGAGATTTAACGGAAGGAGCCCCTTTCATTTGACAAATTGTTCAGAATGCAACTTTCGAGTAAGAACTTTGAAAGGGGAGAGGCCCCGTTCATTTGCAGCAAGCTTTCAGGTTGCAGCTTCTGAGTAAGAACTTCTGAAGAGAAAGACAATGGAGTCTAGAGAGTTCAGTATTGGCTCAGCATTGGGAATTTTTAGATTCGTATCGGCAATTTTGGGGGTCGGCCGGGGGTATGTTTGGTCCGTTTGCAAACGCGAAGAAGGCGCGGAGGAGTGAACGTGCCGTCCGCGCTACAAGTTCACAAAGCCGCCCAGCGTGTTTCCCGTGCCGAATTTCCGAGTCAAGCCCGCCAAGTCCCAAATGCAGGTTTCCTAGCCTACGCAGCAAGTTCCGACTCGCGCAGGGCCAGGACGTGTTTCGATGTCACGGGTCCAATCTTTGCTGCAAGGGTCATTCAATATTAGAACTTGCGCCAACCGCCCGGATTGCCCTGTCTGGTTTCTCCTGTTTGTGTTTTTTGGTGAGGCTGGGAAACCAATTGAAGTGGCCAGTTGCTGCTATATTTGGCTTGTTTCCAAATATCAAACTGCTCGCGAGTATGAACTGTTTGAGACCCGCAGCGCGTGGTTTGTTTGGGCTGACGCCTTCCAAGGCTGGAGCCACTGCACATGCGCCTGGGTGTGCCGCTGCGACTTGGTCAAAACACTCTGACCCCAGGTTCATTCTCTTGTCAAAACCGTGGACTCAGCGCAAGTGAAAACCCCCAAAAGTCAAGGATAAAGGCGTGCGTCAAACGATCCAAGTGGAGCTTGCAGATTCGTGGGACCCAAACAACTTCAATTGATAAATGAGCATGAAGAAATAGCCGCCAATCCAATCGCTCACTCAGCCCAGCCGCTCGCAGACGCACAGCTTGCAACGAGCGTCCTGGTGACAGCTACCCTTGGCCGGAAGAATTTTGTTGAGAAGAACGTTCTGATTCAATTTGACCTCCGGCCTCATGTGGAGGAAAAAGCCGAGGAAGGAGTTTGAGAGCCCCGGCGCCTGGAGGAAGGACCCGACTTTGGGGGGCGGGGTGGCAGGCCTCTTTTGGAAATGGCTAAACCAGGCGTGAGGGCGGCGTGTCGCACAGCCTTGCCTGTGATGGAGCAGAGATAGCTGCGGGGGTCAACATGTTCGCGTTGAAGCGTGCTCTGGGCAAGATTGAACTCCGCTTTTCTCGAGTCTGACGCCGACTCCTACTAGAAGTAGAGGTTTGTGGTCGCCCTGATGTAAGCCTGGCTTTCCAAGAAGAGCCCAGAAAAATCGTTGGCTGCCCAAACGGCGATTGCGTTTGCCTTTCAGGCCGACAGATGTAGAATTCCGCTAGCGTTGGTGATTGGTCTGTCGTGTGTCTGTGTGTGGTTCTGTTTGTCGTTGTCATTGCGCGGGTGTGTGTGTGTGTGTGTTTGTGTTTGTGTTTGAGTTTGAGTTTGAGTTTGAGTTTGTGTTTGTCTTTGTGTTAGTGTTTGTGTTTGTGTTTGTGTTTGAGTTTGTGTTTGTGTTTGTGTTTGTGTTTGTGCTTGTGGTTGTGCTTGTGGTTGTGCTTGTGGTTGTGCTTGTGCTTGTGTTTGTGTTTGTGTTTGTTTTGGGTTTGCGTTTGCGTTTGCGTTTGCGTTTGCGTTTGCGTTTGCGTTCGCGTTCGCGTTCGCATTCGCGTTCGCGTTCGCGTTCGCGTTCGCGTCCGCGTTCGCGTTCGCGTTCGCGTTCGCGTTCGCGTTCGCGTTCGCGTTTGCGTTTGCGTTTGCGTTTGTTTTTGTGTTTGTGTTTGTGTTTGTGATTGCGTTTGTGTTTGTGTTTGTGTTTGTTTTTGTTTTTTGTGTTTGTGTTTGTGTTTGTGTTTGGGTTTGGGTTTGGGTTTGGGTTTGGGTTTGTGATTGTGTTTGTGTTTGTGTTTGTGTTTGTGTGTGTGTGCGCACACTCTGTTGGTTGCTGGCTTGCTGGCCGGCTTGCTTGCTTGCTTGGTTGGTTGCTTGATTGGTTGTGTGTGTGTGTGCGTGCGTGTGTGCGCGAGTGTGTGTGTGTGTGTGTGTGCGCGGGACGCGGGCTTGAAATGTGCTCGCGCGAGTTGCTCTGCGCAAGTGCTCGGCTGCGCAAGTTGCTCCGTGCTCTGTGAAAGTTGCACTGTGCAAGTTGCTTTGCGTGTGCCAGTGCTCTGTGCGAGTTGCGCTGCGCAAGCGCCCTGCACGAAAGTTTGCTGCGCAAGCTCGGGACAAGTTCATATGAGCAAGTTCCCTGATCAAACTCTCTGCGTGCAGCGCAGAACCACAACATAGCAACTTTTCGACGTGAGTCCAAGTCAATCCGGGCCTGCGACAGTGTACTTCGGTTAATTCTTAGCCGAAGCCTGCTGAAGTGCACTTCGCGCAATACTTTCATACTTAAAGGTCTGCGGTTTGGTTTGGTGTTGTTTGTTTGTGTGCCTCTGAGCGCGTGTGTCTATGTCCGTGTGTGTGTGTGTGCGCGCTTTCGTGTCTCTATGTCTCTACGTCTCTGTGTTTTCAGGATGTGTGTCTGTGTCTCTGTGTTTTGTTCTCTCCGTGCCTCTTTGTCTCTGTGTTTGTGTCTGCCTTTCTTTTTGGTTTTGTCTCTCTGACAGTTTTTCTTTGTCTTTGCCTCCCTCTCTCTCTCTCTCTGTCTCTTTCTGCCTCTCTGCGCATGTATGTTCGCGTGTGTGGCTGTTGTGCGAGTGTGCGTGTGTGTGTGTGTGTGTCACTTGCGCTTGTAGCGTCCAACTCATCCGGAGTCGCGGCTGGACAGGTTCACCTTGTTGTTTCGTTGGCCAACCATACTTGATCACAGCTGGTCTCTTGTTGGCGGCTCGTGTTTCGTTGTAACACAAAACGCTGATATCTCTAAAGATCACCAATTTCGGGCAATCGGAGCCCTTATTCCTCAAGGACCTTCTAGTGCAGATCCTGATTTGCGCTCCTCTGGATGTGCTGCCTTTGGTGTTTGCCCTGCTTGGGGGCGACTCCGCCGGCTTTGCATGTCGCCTTGTTTAAAGAGCGGGCGCGGGCAGGAATTTGCACCCTTTACGGGCTGGAGAAAAGGCTTTGCTGTACCCTTTCAAGTGGCTGAAGCCGTGGGAGGTGGTTGTGAGCTGCAATGGGGGGGGGGACTGGCGGAAATGAAATCTTGTCCAAGGAAATGAGCCGATTCAGGCCCTGGGGCTGGCCCACACTGTTGACCTGAGTTTCAGCTGGGATGTGTTCCTAATGGCAAACTTGCGATAGGAAGGAAGGTTAGCAACCTTATCCCTTGACACTTGCCCTTGATAGCCTCTAGAGTTCACATTTGGCGGCCATGGTTGGCTCCTACGGTTCGTTCCTATTGCAGTGGCTTCAAATCATGTCAAATCACAGACTGTCAGAAATGCGTCCAGGATCCTTCTAATCTTGCCTTGGAATGAGACCCCAAGTGACACACAAAAACCTGCAAAAACCAGGTTCGGAGCAGAATCGGCCAGCAAGTTTTGCAGGCGGGCAAGGTGGCTTCCCTTGGATTTAGATGCGAATGTGTTTGAATGCATCTGCAGTCTTGTCCCCTTTACTGGGCGCCTACTTGAAAAGAATCGGGCCTAGAGGGCTCCGACCCAGGTCTGGCTTTGGTGGCCTTTCTGGAGGTCCTCGTGTTTTGGATCTTTGAGGCGGGTTTGCCTTGTCTCTCTGGAATTGGCAGCCTCTCCGAGTGGCATATTCTGCGTGGTTTCCCTTGAAGCACCCATCAAAGGAGCCTGCTAAGCTTCACGTGCCTAGGTTTCGTGTGTTGACCAGGTAGTGGATGATTTTCGATGCAAGAAGCGATGCTTGGCTTGCAGCTATGCTACGAACTTCCATATACAAATATAAGTATATACATATAGATAGATAGATAGATAGATAGATAGATAGATAGATAGATAGATACATAGATAGATAGATAGATAGATAGGTGTAAGTGTGTGCCCTGAGAAAGGTATTTAGACAAGTACGTTGCAATTCCTGAGGGGCAGTTCTACAACTGCGACACACGCAACTCGCGACGGCGGCTAGGCTGCAATGTGCCTTTGAACCCGTGCTCCGCCCAGTCCCAAAGCGTTTGCCATGTTGCAGAGACCGAAAGGTTCAGTCAGTTCAGTCAAAAAATGTTGGTGGGTCTCAGCACCCTTCGACGCGCTGCAGATGGTTTATCAGAGCAAGCTTCGGCCAACCGAGGCGGAGATATCCAGCCCAGCCCGGGCAGCCACGCCCATGGTACTTTGGCTGCGCTCTTTGTTTTCCCCACGTCCTGTGTGTTCTTTTTCTCCTTCCTTCCTTCCTTCCTTCCTTCCTTCCTTCCTTCCTTCCTTCCTTCCTTCCTTCCTTCCTTCCTTCCTTCCTTCCTTCCTCCCTTCCCTCCCTCCCCTTCCCTTCCCTTCCCTTCCCTTCCCTTCCCTTCCCTTCCCTTCCCTTCCCTTCCCTTCCCTGCCCTCCCTTCCCTCCCTTCCCTCCCTTCCCTCCCTTCCCTCCCTTCCCTCCCTTCCCTCCCTTCCCTCCTTCCCTCCTTCCCTCCTTCCCTCCTTCCCTCCTTCCCTCCCTCCTTCCTTCCTGCCTCGCTCAACTTGCACCACCCTCCCTCAACTCACACACACTTACTCCCGCTCGCTCAACTTGCATTCACCAATTACACTCACTAACTTACTCGTACTTATTCTCACTCACTCAACTTACACCACCCTCCCTCACTCCACATACTTACTCTGCTCGCTCAACTTGCATTCACCAATTACACTCACTAACTTGCTCATACTTATTCTCACTCACTCAACTTACAACACTCTCCCTCAACTCCACATACTTACTCTTGCTCGCTCAACTTGCATTCACCAATTACACTCACTAACTTGCTCATACTTATTCTCACTCACTCAACTTACAACACTCTCCCTCAACTCCACATACTTACTCTTGCTCGCTCAACTTGCATTCACCAATTACACTCACTAACTTGCTCATACTTATTCTCACTCACTCAACTTACAACACTCTCCCTCAACTCCACATACTTACTCTTGCTCGCTCAACTTGCATTCACCAATTACACTCACTAACTTGCTCATACTTATTCTCACTCACTCAACTTACAACACTCTCCCTCAACTCACACATACTTGCGCTCGCTCGCTCAACTTGCATTCACCAACTGCACTCACTAACTTACTCATACTTATTCTCACTCACTCAACTTACACCACCCTCCCTCAACTCACACATACTTACTCTCGCTCTCTCAACTTGCATTCACCAATTACACTCACTAACTTACTCATACTTTTTCTCACTCACTCAACTTACACCACCCTCCCTCAACTCACACATACTTACTCTCGCTCACTCAATTTGCATTCACCAATTACACTCACTAACTTACTCATACGTATTCCCACTCACTCAACTTGCACTCACTGACTCTCAGGCACTTTCACTCTCAATCACTCACCTTGCACATACTCGCTCTCACTCACTCGCCCTACGCTCACTGACTTTCAGCCACTCACACTCTCACTCGACCCACTTAGACATATCTACTCACTCCGCTCCGCTCCCCTTCACTCCACTCCACTCCACTCCACTCCACTCCACTCCACTCCACTCCACTCTACTCCACTCCACTCCACTCCACTCCACTCCACTCCACTCCACTCCACTCCACTCCACTCCGCTCCACTCCACTCCACTCCACTCACTCCACTCACTCCACTCACTCCACTCACCCCACTCACCCCACTCACTCCACTCACTCGCGCACACACGCACTCACTCACTCAGTCACCCACTCACCCACCCACCCACCCACTCACTCACTCACTCACCCACCCACTCACTCACTCACTCACTCAACCATTCTCTCTCTCGCAACTCATTCCACCTCACTATCCGTAACTTGCTCACTCACGCTCTCATCTCACCTCACATCAGCTCATCTCGCCTCGCCTCGCCTCACCTCACCTCCTCACTCCCCACTCTCTCCTCCACCCCACTCCACTCACCACTCACTCCACTTACTTTCTCGGTTGGCTCGGAGTGCTTCGTGACAGGCACAGTACTTGGAGACGCTGGGGCTTGCTTTCATGACCTGCGTTTGCGTGGCTGGCGCACTTCTTCGCGCACGCTGATCTGGCTTGTGTGGCAAAATCTGGCTTTGCGACGCCTTTGCTGTTGTGCGTTTCACTCATACTTTATCCTCCTTCGCTCAACGTGCACTCACTAACTTACACAGACCGTCCCTCGCTCACTCAACTCACACGCACTGACTTAGACGTACTTTCTCCCACTCACTCAATTTGCAGTCACTGACTTTCAACTGCTCGCATTCTCACTACACACACACATATATGTATATATATGGGGGGGGCGTCCGTAATTGCGTGCCTAGAACTAATGAACAGCGGCAGCTTGTTGAACTGCGCGATTGGTAAAACTCGAGCTGCGAAAGGCCGGCGATTGGACCGCGATAGGGCAACGAATTTATTCTCCCTGATTTTGACTGCGCGGGCTCGAGCAAAAGTCCCCTTTGGAGTCCTGAATGTTGATTTCGCTTCTGCAGGGCCAGACAGCGCTTTCCAAATCTGCTTGCTGGCCAGGGCTGGAAGCTGCAATCCGAAGTTTTCCCGCGATTGGACGGCGATTGGACGAGTTCCACCGGCACGCCTCTGCCCATCCGAGCTACGTCACTTCCTTCTTAGTTATATGGCTGAAGGCAAGCGCTTGAGATAAGACGTCGAAGCTCGAAACAGAAACAGCAGCGATGCCCAACGTTGCTCCGCGATTGGACCCTGTGGGATCGCAATTGGCCGGCGACTGGGGTCCGCAGGCAAAGTACTTTTGCACAACCCCCATATATATGTATCAACTTGCTCGTACTTACGCTCGCTCGCGCAACTCACACACACTGCCCTCACGCATGCTTGATCTCACCCACTCAACAACCTACACTCGCTAACTTGAGTATGCTTTCTTTCGCTCACTCAACTTACACTCAATGACTTACACATACGTATTCTCTCACTCACTCACTCACTCACTCACTCACTCACTCGCTCGCTCGCTCGCTCGCTCGCTCGCTCGCTCGCTCACTCACGCACTCACTCACTCACTCACTCACTCACTCACTCACTCACTCACTCACTCACTCACTCACTCACTCACTCACTCAACTTGCTATCTTGCGCGTACTTTCTTTCACTCACTCAACTTACACTCACTGACTTACACATATTTCTTCTCACTCACTCAACCTAATTACTCCCACTGACTTTCAATTATTCTTCGCTCAACTTGCGCAAACTTGCTCTCCCTCACTCACTCACAAACCTACATTTTGTTTACAAGAGGCTACACGTGGGGATATCGTTGCAAGGGTCAGGTCGACCGGCCCAGGTACCAGAGGACTTCAGGTCCCCGTTGGGCTCACCCATGACTTCACCCCTCGAGGCAGGGCAGAGCTGGTCATTGGGTTGTTGCGTGCAGAATGAAGGATGAAGCATGACGACAGCGTCTGCAGGTAGTACGGGAGACAACTTTGCGCAGCAGCCTGGCTGTAAATGGGCGAGCCATTGCATAGGATGTCCCGTCATGTGCCCGCCCATGCAACATCAGCGCAACTCACTTGCTCAGTGCCTCAAGCCAGCCGCCTGAGGCTCCAGCCCGCTGGAAGCGCCCGGACCTGAGGGGATTGCGGTGGTTGGTTAAGCAGGAGGGTTCACTCGGCAGAAACAAGGAAGGATGCGTGAGTCCAGACTCTTGTGACCTCAAAACCTGTAGGAAAAAAGGCGCAGGTTCTGCTGTTACATGTATTTAATCTTATGCTATATCATGAAAAAATTGGAGCACTTTTTGCGAATGACTGGTATGATTTATTTTTGTTGGACAGTCCTTGTCAGGCAAGCCAGTGTAGGACCTAAAGCGAAAAGCAACGTGGCGTCGTTTGCATTTCGTGTACCCTGACGCCAGCCATTATTAGCCATACCCCCAAGCCCAGTTCCCAGCTCAATATTTTCTGGCACTTTTCTGCACGTTGCATTTAACATCCTCCTGCCCTGAATGTGCGTCTGGCCTCCTCGGAAGAGCAGCTGGCCTGTCAAGAGCAACATGAGACCGAGTCGCGCCAGCGCCGCCGAGGTGCGCAGTGCTGCGGCGGTTCTTGCTGATGCGCCCCTGGCTGGTGCTGCTGCTGGTGCTGGCAGGGCTCATCCTCGCGTTGGTCTCCGGCTCCGAGATGCTGCGGCTTGGCCAGCCTTCTTTTATTTAGCTCACGATGGTAGGCTGCTTTTTCCCGCCGGCTCTTCCGCGGCAAATGTTTTGCCCGGTCCGAAGAGCACCAGCTTTGGCCTTGAACAGATGCTAGTCGGCGGCAGAGTCGATGCAAGTGGCTCCACGACGAGGCGCTTTGCGTGTTAGCCAGGGCACAGGCTCTGGAGTGGTGACGCAGGCGCCGTGGCAACAGTAGCGACGCAGCAAGGCCTGCCACGCACGCAAGATCTACTTATTGTTGCTCACCAGGCCAGCCACCTGGGTACCACCGCAGGCTCGCGGGGCCTTGAGGCTACTGCTTGAATCATTTTCAGAACTTAAAAGCCACCAAAAGCCAGCAAATGTCCGCCTTTGCATCCACATTGGCTTGTTGTTGCCCGTCAAAAGCACCCTTGCACTCGTGCACAAAGCGAAAACGAGAAAGCAGCCTCGCGTCTTTTTGCTGGACACCGTGCGGGGCCATCCATTGGCTCGAACACGCAGGCAGCTTCCCACCTATGTTTCGGACAATGAAGCCCCACTAAAACAGCCTGTTTGGAACGCGCCTCACTGATCTGCAATCGTTTGTGCCCACTTGGCAACGGGGTTGAACGTGGCACTTCGGCAGCATGCGGCCGGTTGGGGTCGCGCACTGTTCCCATTATGCTCGCATCAGCAAATTGCGCCGCGCCAACATGCCGTCGCGCCGAAGCGCCGATTGCTCACAAGAGGGCTGAAGTTGAATATAGTTTGGGTTGCCCACATAAGCCGTTGCAGCAGGCTCTTGTTCGCACTGGCCGCTGCAACGCTGGCGCTGAGCCACTTGTACCGATCCTGGGCCAAACGCTGGTCCTTTGTCAAGGCACGGCGGGAGCAGGTTTAAAGTTTCAGGGGTCAAGACACAGAGGATGGAAGAAAAGATCCTGGTTATGGAAATCTCCATCCCAAATGACTCCGTTTGGGAAGGCAAGCTCATATTTCAAAGATGCAGTTGTTGGCCGCCCCTTTTGTATTTGAAGCACCGTCAAAATTGCGTTTGTTGAATTTAGTTTTCGGCCTTTCATTGATGTTGCGGAAATGCACACGACTACGAAACCCTTGGAAGCAATGTTTATATTTGCGTGCTTGTTGTTTGTGTGGATTGCAATTGTCCCTTCAAAAAAACAGCTCGCGCTTGCTGGACTCGGATTCGGCCACCTCCATTAAATCTGGCACACCCTGCTAAGTGAGACCTCAGCAAATAGAAGGTAGAGGCAAATTGGCGCAAAGCGCGTGAGCCTGCAAGTCCAATGTGAGTAAAGATCCGTCCACAAGTAGCACCCTGTTCTGGCGACAAGTCTTGTCATTCGCCATCCCCAGCAACCGCCAGAATCCATCCACCCAATCCAACCGCTCCACACGAAACCTATCGGAAGCCACCGAAACCGCAGACCGAAACCGCAGCTAAAGCAACTCCTAAAGCAACCCGCAGCTCTCCCATACTTGCCGAGCTTTGTGTTCCAACGCATGAGACAGAAATGCTACGGCGTAGGCGCGTATGCTGCACTTAGTTTCCAGACAACCCCAATCGCTCTATGGAACTTTATCCAGCAACCGCTTCGTGGAACTGTCGAAAGGAACCGGGACCTTCGCGGAAAGCTTTTTCCAAAAGTACGGCCGAACTAGCCGGGCAAAACTTCGCTTATTGTGGGCATTTGGTAACGCAACAGCTTTCAGTAGCAGGCTGGCCGAATGCTGTGTTGTTCTTGATTAGCAGGAGCAGACTACTCCGCAGGGACTTCCCGTGCTCAGCTGCCCCCACTGGCAACATGTTCAAAATAAGCCGTAAAGCAAAGCGCTGCGCAGATAAGTTGAATAAACAAAACATGGAATTGTTTGCCCATGATCGCTCTACACGCCAAGCTCTCTCTTCGGACTTTTCTGGTCCTGCTACTCTCTTCCAAGCGGCCAACAATTGCAGAACTTGCAGCTGCCTTGCAGCGCGCAATACTGCTTAGGCGAAATGGGCCAGGGAACAAAGACGCCATTACCCTTCACAGGGAGTTACTTGAAGATCCTCGCTTCAGTGCACGAAAAGAAAGCAAAGACAGTGAATAATGAGCGTCGCGTTGCGATACAGAGCTGGAAGGCGGTTTTACACTGCGCAGCTGTCTTCTCGGTTTTTGCAGCTTACAGCTCCAGCAGTCAGCATTGCCGGAGAGGCGCTGCTGAGCTGTGACTCGAGTTCTGCGCGCGTCAAGCGCGCGAAAAGTATGTGCGTCAACGTGGGCGCAATTGTGAGCCGCGGGCCGGGAGTAGGGATGCGCAGAAACTCACATCCACGAGCTGAACGCCAAGACCCTCACTTTACACGTGATTGTTGGAGGTGTCAATCTGCTCCCGGCAATGAAGTGTTTAGAACCAAGCCAGTCGCTGCTGGCTCGTTTGCGTTCTAGCCGAGTGCTGCCAGAGGCCTCAACAGATTTTGCAGAGCTTGAGGTTTGTGTTACTGGTTCAGAGCATGATCATGACCAATAAACCAGACTCAGAGAAAGTCCCTGACAGATTCGCCTGGAGTCAGAGACGCACCGCGAGGAGGTGGCAGAGGCTTGCTCTGCAGCTGCCAGCACGATGCAGCGCGTTCGATCGTGTAAGTGTTGAAGTTGCTGCGGGAATTGTTTCCCAAGACATCGTCAAAAGAAGTGGCCAGTAGTTTTGGGATGCCTCGTTCGCTCCGCTCAGGAATGCGTGGATGAGACGTTTCAGGTGGTTCGCCCAATTGCAGCTTGCTACAAATTAATTGCTGCTGTGAGCAGCGGGGGGGTGGCTTGCCCAAACAATCTGCATAACGTCCCACGGGTTAGTGAAGGGGAGTTTAGAAGGAACTTCCATGGTACGGACACGAAGGAACTTCCATACTACGGACACAAATTGCAAGCTACCTTTCTGACAGAAGACAAGACAAGCGCGCAACCCTGCGCAGGTTTCAGTCTTTCGGATGCTCAATAGCTAGCGGAGTCGTGCGACCAGTGGTCGGAGCAAGCTTGGAGCGCGTTTGGAGCAAGCTCGGAGCCGGGCCGATTGGGACAGAGAGAGAGAGAGAGACAGAGACAGAGACAGAGACAGAGACAGAGACAGAGAGAGAGAGAGAGAGAGCGAGAGCGAGAGAGAGAGAGAGAGAGAGAGAGAGCGAGCGAGAGACACCAAGAGAGAGAGAGAGAGAGAGCGAGCGAGAGACACCAAGAGAGAGAGAGAGAGAGAGAGAGCGAGCGAGCGAGAGAGAGAGAGAGAGAGCGAGAGAGAGAGAGAGAGAGAGAGAGCGAGCGAGCGAGAGAGAGAGAGAGAGAGCGTGAGGGAGAGGGAGAGAAAGATAAACAAAAGTAAAGACAAGGACAAAGAGAAAGGAATATAGAAAGAGAAAGGACATGGAAAAGAGAAAGAAGAAAAGGAAGAGCTGTTTTCAGCTGTTTTTTGTTGTTTGCCTCAGATCGCAGCTGAGGTGTGCGCCAATGTCGCTGTTCCGTCTGGCTACCAGATCGTCAATGATGGCCTGCTCTTTGCCCCTGGGCTCTTCAGACGGAGGTTCACACAAGCCAAGGGGCCTAATAGCCAAGCAGACTGGGAGCTTGCAGGGGCGTGTGAGACTACTCTGACGGATGGGAAGCGAGCCACATTGGAATGTGTGAACACTAGCGGCCCTTGTTTGGTTATTTTGAAAGGAAACCAACAAACACGGAACCTACTGTTGGAATTCTCTGGTTTTGACGCGTCACCACGCGTCGAAGGGCAACACCATGGCCGTAACAATCAGAAGAAAAATGCCAACGGTCAGACAACAAGGGCGCAGAAAAGTGTCATGCAGCCACCGTTCAACACTTATTTGTTCCATGCTGAGTTGCTAGGGCACAACCGGCCGCAGCGCCAAAAGCAACTCCGGATTTCGCAGCTCTTGTTCCTTGAGTGCCCGTGCCTGCAACCAAATCAAGGCACGCCAGAGAAAAAACAGTCTCAGCCAGCCGGTCCCGCGACAAGTCTGCATGACATTAATAAGCATGACAGTTCTGGTTTGCCGTGCGTTTTTGATGGCAACGCCTGAGGTTTGCAACTCTTCTCCGCCCTTGAGTTGCGAGCTTTATGAAGCTTTGTCAAACCATGGCCCCGGCATCACCAGCATCCCCACGTCACCACGCTGAAACACCGTCTCAGCGCCACCCTTCCCAGACGCCTTGCCCCTTGAGGCAGCGGCCGGCAGAACTGTTGAGTGGACTGGAACAAGAGAGGGCGTCTAATTGTTTAAGTAGCAGAGCAGTGTTTATTTCCTGAGTTCATTCCCGACTGATTTCGTTCCTGGGCTGACTCTATTTTTTTCATACCCAGACAGGGCATGCCAGGCATGACCTTTTTGGCGACCGGAGGGGCGCCGGGACTCTGCAAATGTCAAGGACCTGTGAAGATTTCTTGGTCCTTCAGGTTTTGAGCGTTTGAGATTCTTGGCAAATGCGTCAACAACGGCTTTGCGCCAAGGATGGCGAGATTCGATCACAGCTAAGAAGCTACCCCGCTGCTTGGCCAGTTGAGTGACAGCAAGCTGCATAAAATCTTGGAGAAATACCAAGCCTCAGAGCCACAAAATGTTTGCCTGTCAAATCGCTCACAGACATAGCAAGCACCGCCAAGGAGTCAGGTTTTCGGGCCAACCGGTTTGTTGCTTCCAGAGACTTCGCGCAGCATGGGTGGGCTCAATGAGGAGAAGTGCAATGGACGAGGTCCATCCCTTGAACGTGTCTGAAGATTCTACCTGGGCCTTCCAAGTGTGTAACTTTGGCTCGAGAATACGATTGAAAGATCACAAAAATATTGGTTCATCATGTGTATTTATACATATACGTATATATGTCACACGCGTTTGCTCGTCCGCGGTCGGAAATATGTTTGCTTTCACAACAATCCACAGAAGAGGCCTGAACTTGGCACTCAAGATAATGTATCTTGAGCCTTTTCTGAAGCGTTTTGAATTTGGGGGACGCGACACGCAAGACGTGCCAAGGGTTTCACCCTTCAGAAAGTAAACCACGCACAGTCAGATTTCAAAAAGGGCATCTCGGCTGAAAATCAGACAGTCATTCATGAATCCTGGGTTTTCGCTGGCGGGTTGATCAAAATGAAGGGGGCGGTTGCATGCGCATTGATGTTGGCAGACGTTCTGCCGTGCTTTCAAAGCGCGTAGCAGTACCTGCGTTTGTCGAGACCATTGTCCCATTCTTACTGACGTTCCTTGCTCAAAAATATGATGCGGTTCAGGCATGTTAATTCAAGGTTGGCGCGAACTAAGCTCAAACGCAGGTTGGCACCATCCTGGAATTCCGCGCAGAGCCGCTGAGCCGATGGTCTCGTTTCCTGGAGGCCCGCTGTGGTGCCAGCCCCGCCCAGATGCCGCGCGCCTATGCTTTTGCTGGGCTTGGAGGGAGGCAACTTCTTAGGTTTTAGGGCCCGCCTTCCCGAGTTGGCGTGTCAAGAGGGGGTTACACAGGGAGTTCCGTGTGGGGGCGGCCTCAGGGCACGCAAGCTAAAGGGACGCGGCGAAGGAATACTAAAACCGAGCCTCTTTGAGCCTTGAGGGGCCTTTAGCGGAGACCCTGCAACCGGATGGACTCAAGAGTGTCCTTGCCCGAGGCTAGAGAACGGCGGCATTGTGCTTCTTGTGGGTCTACTGTGCTGCCAGACCCTTTTGCAGGCACGCGTGATTCATTCATGAGAATGGCTGAAAGAGACAGAGACACAAGCGAGACACAGAGAGAGAGAGAGAGACAGCGAGGGAGAGAGCGAGAGAGAGAGAGAGAGAGAGAGAGCGAGCCGGATGGGGAGACACTCAGCTGCGGGAAAAAATTGGCGATATGCTATGTGCAATTAGTGTAGAAGGTCCCCGGCCCCCTCTTCAAGTATGCAATGTCCAGTTCAGGAGTTTGTTTGCTTTTCTGGCTTGTTCACTGAGGCGTCAAAAGGCCGATTTAGTCAGCTTCTTTGAGAACACCAGCGACCCCGAGCAATGTGCGTCAACTGGGCAGCCCCAAGACGGGCTGCTAAGGGGAATCATGACACTTGAACTTGAGCCAGTTGTTTGCGGAAGGCATCTTGATTCGAAGCCAGGTGGGCTACATTGGGGCTGCCGTGCTGTGTATCTTGCTCCTTTTGATGCTGCTGTCCCCAGCGCTTTGCACGATCTTCCTGCCACAGCTGGCGCCGTACGCGCATGGAGTTTCTTGACTGGAGCGAGCCTGGTTGCCGGACATGGGCAACCCGAGTCCAATCAATGTTTCACTCCACGCTTGCCTTGCTGTGGCACCCGGCACCCTGCGTTCGGCATCAGCAGGTCACCCAAGCCAAGTGTTTGTTAGCCATTTCCTCAAGACAGTCCAACACTTGCCTGGGTAGGTTCTGACACCGAGGATAGGGGCAACAAGTTTCCAGTTCGCAAAGAACACGAAGAAGACGTCTACAACACGCATACTCTGAGTTGCAGTTCAAGCATCAACCGCTGCTTGCTCGCGCGGCTTTTGTCCTCGGTTGCTAGGCCGTGTCGCTGCTCTTTGGGCTTCTGAGCTTCTTCTCAGGCTGCGCTGCGCCGGTTGGCGTGCGTGAGTTTCCTGCAGCCCCAAGCCTATCAGAACCCGTTGTTTGCATCCCAGCCGGTGTGACATCCGAATGTGCGAGAGGCACAGCTTTGCGTTCAATTGCTGTTTGGTGTTTGCATCGGCCTAGATCTGGGTGTTTTCGTTCAACCATGCTTTGCAAAGGACCGGCAGTTTGAACTCTTTCTACAAGGTCATAAAGTCAATTATACAACCTGCTGTCAGGCATGACCTTCTGGCTTATGCCGGTGCTCGCGCTGTCGACCCATTTCCTGCTCCAGCGCCGCTTCCCACACATGCGTGCGATCTCCGTGTCGCTGATGTTGATCTTAGCGACGCTCGGCCTTTGTCAATCCAGCTGCCTTGCTGCCTTGTGGCCAACTTCACAAACTGGTGGCGAGCCTCCAACGTTGGGGATTGGGCTAGTCGAGGCAGCAAGTCAAGATTTGTTTTCCTTTGGTGTCACCAGGTTTCTGTGTGTGTGTGTGTGCTTGCTTGTGTTTGTCTGTTTGTGTGTGGCTGTTTTGTTCAGAGGCTGGCTCTCCCCATCCTTCGTCTCCAGGCTGTTAGTTTCCCTGGTGCTGGTGCTGTCCATCTCCTCCACGCTGGAGCCAGAGCAGGGGTCTGCGCCCGAAAAGTCGGCCCGGAATTTCACCTTTCCCACGGAAGGAGCGGTGCAAGGTTGATGCCAGTCCGCAGCAGAAGAGAATGGTAAAGGATGACGACAATGACATGTTCGATGTTTTCGCAAGACACCATAATATCTAAAGCGGGCCGCAGTGTCCAGAGGGTCCAGTTGGTTTAGTCGTGTGACTGCGTAGCGTCCCACTGAGCTGTGAAGGCGTGAGTCAACGTCAATTGCATTCCATTGCTTGGTTGTCAAAAGCTTTTTGGCCAGGAGACAGGCGTCCATATCAGTCGGGCGCCGTGGGCCCGGGGTGTATGACGTTTCCAACTTCAAACGCGTCGTCAGTGCCCCAGGCGGTTTGGCCTTACAGTGAGAGCCATTCGCCAAGGGACTTGCAAGCCTCCTTTCCACAACCAATTTAGCTCGTTTGGATTCTGTTGAAGCCGCAAGTCTGTCACAAATCTAAAGCAGCCAACTGTTTGGAGGGCCCCTTTGGCAGACCCATTGCCAAGGTCGGACTTGCGGCTTCCTGACTTTGGCTTCCTCAACCTGGCGGTATACGAGTGCTGCGACTAAATTTAGAACTGTTTTTGGACTGCGCGTGCCCTGCCTTTAGCTACGCGGCTTGCTGTGAACGCACGGCAAGTCCCAAGACCAGCATGTCGTGTAGATTTGGCATGTTTCTGTCGCGGGTGGTTTGCTAAAAGGAGGACGGATTGATGAACCATGTGTATTTGCCGCGCAGAATGCATTGAAGCTTTCGGGCCCAGTTGAGCGCAACTTCCCAGCCGGATGTTCTGCAGTGTTTGGCATAAGATCAGCAAAGTTTCGCGAAAGTTGATGGACCTCGCGCCACTTTCCGCACATGGGTGGCCAACGGGTTTTTTCCTTTCCCGCCGCACGGCTTTCGAGTTGGGGCTGCGGAAAAGCTTACTTTGTGTGCTACTTTCGTGCTGAAAGGCTGCGACTTTCGAGCCTGGACTGCGAATTTCTACTTCACGTGTTTCTTCTTTTTTGCGAAAACAGCCCTGCAAAAGCTCGGTGACGCAGGTTGCTGTTTTTTTTTTTCCCGCGAAGGTGGCGTTTCCGGTAACAAATAATTTCAGACAACCGCAATGTATACGTATGTATATTATATATAAAAGCCATCCTAGAGGGTGTTATTTGAGGAGAGGTCGGTCGTAGTGCTAGGAAGGATAGCAGCCAAAGGAAGCGAGTCTATGCGTTTCGCAGCTGTTGAGCTTGCAGTTTCAAGCTTGCCTTGGCTATGACTTGTTTGGCAACTGTGCTGAGGAAATGATGCGGAAACGAGCTTTGCGGCTCCTTGCGTTTCCGAGTGGAGTTTTACGCAAGCGTCGTGCACAAAGCGAGCAGCTGTTGCAGCCAAACACCCCTCCACGCGCAAAGTTGACCAGGGGGAAAGGGGATAGGGGAGGCAAGCGGTTGCTGAGGCCACAGGAGCTCTTGGAGAAGGAGCTGAATAGCTACATGCCCCAGTGGCAGGCTGGGTCCAAAAAAAGAGGCGAAACCACGAAGAAGCAAGGGCACTTTCAAGGAAAGCCACGAAGATGCCTATTCTGGGTGCTTCGCAGATTTCGTAGACTGCTGCCATATGAGCCAAACATGGAGGGTAAACCCTGCGTTCTATGACCACACCTATTCGGAAGCTGGGCAGAAAGCAGAATCGGGCTTCAAAAGTCAAAAGAGAAAGGCGTGGCAACGCGTTTTCAGTCTGGCCCGTCTAACTCTCGCCCACATAGAATAGTCAGGTGGTCCGTCAGCACCGTCGGGAAGATCTTTGCGCTCAGGGGCAGTGCAGCAGCGCAGACCCTCGGAGCAGCCAGTGCGGAAGGTCCTGAGCCATACGTCAGCCAGATGCCTGGAACCAGACAAAGCCCACATTTCTTTGGCGCCTCAAATGGACGTAACTGGCACGGCTGTTCTTTCCGGTTCCATGGGTGCTTCTCAACCGCTGGTCTTGGGAAAGAATGACAAGGTTGGCAGGGCGACGAATGCGTATTCATCCAAACACGATCATGTTGTTTTTGAGCTTGAAGTGTCCTTCATTGCTTTTCTTGCGAAGTAATGTTTGTGCGATTCTGCGTTTCGCTTCGAGTTTATATCCTTTGAAACAAAGGGAACGACATGAGACGCACTCGCCGAACTACTGACTCAGAATGCCATCACTTAGATCATGATGAGTTGTGACCATGGCTCGCGAAAAAATGTGTCGCAAAGGGCCCCTGGCTGCTAGAGCAAAAGCTGGAGTTGAGGGTGGTCAGGTTTCCCACAATGTTTAACTTCTTCAGAGGGTCGATTATCAGAATTGAAGAGCGTTGAACTTGGAAGGACCTGCAGAATAGCAGCGACTATTTCGTTTCGCGTGCCAACTGGCAGCGGCCCAAGCTGATTTATGTCGGTTCAAATTGAAAGACAATTGGGGACATTCAAAAAGAATTATGCCTGACAATTATTCCTGGGGTCCTGAAACCCCAGCATTGCAGGCAACTCGCTATCTTCGCAAAACAACATAAAACATATCTTGCTTGAGTCAGGCCCGACACCCTCGAAAGGGGCAGAACATGTATAGCCGCCAGCCTTGATAAGCGTGTCCCTGCTACTATCCGGTGGACAGTGTCAGAATCCAGCTGCCCTCGCTAGCAACCATGAGCCAAAGACTTGCTCCTGAACATTGGCAGTGCATTTGTCCAGGCATATTTGTGTGCTTGCGTTTTCACTTGCTTGCCTGCTTTGCCTCATTGTTGTTTCGCTGTCCTTCCGAAACTCCATTGCCCTCTTGCACCGCCGCTAGATTTGTGGAAGTGTCCTGTGATATGGAATTCTCCGAGGATTGGTCCACCTGGTTCGCCTTTGCTGGTCGCAGAGGGACCGGCCTGGAGGACACCACGGTCCTTGCAATCCGAGGCGCCCTCTCTCAGAAATAGAGAAAGTTTGCCTTACACCGTTGGGTTTTTCCTTGGGTGTAGTGGTCTTGAGCAGGTGGGAAACTTTATGAAGAATGGGGAATTGGGAGGGTGTCGCGTCCCTCCTGGCGGGGACCAAAGTGAAGCCTTTTGCACACTGCTTGAGCCGGCCAATTGCAAAGCTCTCATTTGTTTGACCCCATTCTTGAATGGCACTGCTTGATCCACACACACGGTGAATTCAACAATCTGCAAGCACGAGCGCAACAGGGATGGGTCGCGTCAGTGTGATTGGACATGTTGTCACACACTACCCCCCTCCCCCAAACCCACCAAACATAACAAATTGTTTTACGATAGTGGACCCAGTTAGGTAGCCAGCCATTTCCTAGTGTTTAAAGGGTAATGATAGTCAAGAGGGTGTGTCACCGGTGAGATTCTGGGTATGTGTTTTTTAAGGGACCTGCGGGTCGGCAAGTCGAAGTGCCAATGCGCAAGTGTGCTAGCGCAATGCCTGGGTGCAACAGTGGGGCGCGGCTAGACGAGCAGGATTCGCGCGATGGGCGCATGGAATGAACCCCCCCCCAAGGAGCAAATCTTCATTCGGTCGCGAAAGTGAGCCCGCCACTTGCCGGGCAAGCGGGTTCAAATTCAAGAACTGGCGTTTGATTGAAACGCGAGGCAGGCCCTTGAGCGTGACTTGCCACTGATGTGGCTCGACGTGTCAATGCATCGACTGAGCGCCTTCGCTAGTGCGGGGCAGGCGCATGCCAAGCCACTGCGCACGGCTCACGCGCTTGAACTTAGCGGCTTCAGCGCTCTTGGAGGCTTGCCAGCTCTCACGCGAAGCAGTTTGTGACCGACGTCCGCGTTGACCGATGGGAGATTGACAAGCTGGCACCAGAAACCATAGACGGCGGCGCCAAGCTGGATAGCGATGCGCGATCAGCGAGTTGGCCCGTATCTGACAGCGCCATTGACACGTGGTAATGTTTTTGTCACTTGTTCATGTGTGTGCCCTCACAGGGGCCATGCCTAGTAAGGACGCTCCAAACCAGCAACGCTTTCAGTTGAGAAGTCTTTTTCTGAAGAGGGCCCTCCTTTCGCCCGGCAGGAAAGGCATCGCCGCAGCGCCGCTTCCGAAAACCGAAGGCCCGGGCCCAGCGAAGGCATGGCAGAGAGCGCGCGCGATGGCAAATGGTTGCCTTGAAGGCGTCAATCATCTTATCGCAGCTGCCGCAACGAGACCATAGAACGGCGAATGCGCTCGCAAAATGCGGCAGGGGGGTCAAAATTCCGCCAGCTCGGTTTTGTTCGCCAATCCTGTCCTCCTGTTGCGTTGCAATTCCCTCCCCTTTTCCAGGTGGCACCCCGCATATTAATATGTTGATGTGTACTTTTTGCTCTCCATGAGCAATGGCCATGCGTGCTGTGCTGACCTCTTGAAAATCCACACCTTTATAGCCTTCAGCAGCTCCCTTGCGGGCCATGTTCGTGAAGTTTTTACAAATTGTGACAGAGAAGAGCTGGGGAGTTTTGCTTTAACGATTGAACGGCCAAGGCACCAAGACGCGGCTGGAAATGATCTTTGACTTGGACCTGTGGTCCCTGCAGATTCTGGGTATACAGCGTTTGGCTTCTCGGGTGCTCTTCGTCAGCGTGCCCTTCAATGCCTTCTGGAACTCGCCCCATCTAGGCTGTCCGCATGGAAGGGCAGGTTCCCAATGTGATGTTGGTTGCAACTGCATTTTTGAAGGATCCCCGAGTCTCCCACGCTGCAGGTTTGCCGGAAATGTGAGCGTGCGTTAATTTATGGTTCTGTTTCTGGGAAGTTGCGATGTTTGGCCGGCACGCGGGGACCACAAAGCGCTGCCACCGCAGCGTGACAGGGAGCTCCTTGCATCTCCTTGCACTCTAGATGTAACCGCAGACAGACAAGGTCCTGGAAGGGCGTGTTTGGAGTTTGGAAGCATATCCTCTTTGGAAAAAGTAGCAATCTGAAGCCTAAAAGGCCACAATGCCGTGCTTGTGGCAGAGCTTGACGTTGCGAATAAAGCGCCCCAAAGATAGCAATTTCGTGCGATTCCTCGCGTTTGGGTTGCTGCGATTTGCTGCGGTCAGGCAGCTGGTGGTTCGGCTACAAGCGCGAGAGATATAAGACCATCGTAGACTACCTTGCCTCCCTGATGGCCAAAGAGCCAGCGAGGAAGATTTATGCGACTCGGATCAGGAGCATTTGGGGTGGAGGCCTTGTTTTGCTTAGCTTCTTGCAAATATATCGCTGCATTGTGAGCTTGGGATGAGTCAGAAAACAGGGCTAGTCGGCCAGGGTTTTGAACAGAGATCCAAACAAAGCAGGGCATTGGAACAGAAGTGGGCCCAAACTCTGGCTTGAGGTCACGGGGCATTCGCTGGGCGGCGGCCTTGCTCATTTGGCGTGGTCCTAAGTGGTCGGAAGATTGGAACGTGTTTGATGTCAACTTTGGGATGAGTGACGAAGGGATTCGTGTTGGAGGCGCAGATTGCAGAATCTTCAACTGTAGTAGCCAGTGGGTTGATGTGCCTTGTGCTTCAAGAGAGAGCCAGCTCTTAACGCAAACGTTTCGCGGACCAGGCGTTTGCCCTTGGAAAAAGCCAGAGCGCAATTCCCAAACCGCGCCGTGGGGGCTCGAGCCTTGTCCCGAATTGTTGACGCAACATGGCTCTGCTACCCGTTTGCAAACATTCGAACTGAAGCACCGCAATACTGGGAACAGCTGCCCACATGATTTTCTGCAGGAATCAGCAACGCAAACTATGTAGACCGCGAGAGAGGTGCAGCCAGGTCAAATAGTGGCGCACCTTCTGAAACAACATTAGGCGTGAAGGCGCAGGAAGGAGCCTGCGCCAGCGCAATGATTACTGCATTCCAGTCTGTTTAGAAGTCTGAGTCCAAAACCCTAATTGCAATGTATAGTCAGACCATGATCCGTCAATCTAGTTTTGTGGATTTCGTTCACAACCATGGCTAGCACTGCCGGCGCGACGTTTGATTCACACAACATGTCAAGTAGCATTTTGTGTGTGATGATTTTCGGTTTCCGTTCCAACCCGGGTTGAGGTGGCGGCAGAGCTGCAGTTAACGGCAGTGACGCTCTCGGCGCCCGGGGTGGTGGAGACAGCCTCATTGCTGGGCCTGCAGCCGCAGAGCCTCCAGGAAGGGCAGATCAGCCCGATGTTTGTCATCGCTTGCAAGCTATCTATGCGTCATGTGTGGTGCGCTTGCTACTGCGAGCAAACATCCGTCTAACTGCAGGGAGGCAAGGCTTGCGCAGTGCATTTGGCGGAGAGTCACGGGTGCTGCTTTGAGCAACAAGCAGCGTTGCAGGGGCTCACTGTGAATGTGATCCCCAGTGGCGTCTTGGCCAGCACCGAGAAGCGCGTCGCTTGCTGCAGTTCTGATCATGGCAGCCCTCTCAACAAGCAAGCCTGCAAATTTCAGCTTAAGAGGAGTCATGTGTTTTTGCGCCCACATGTTCGCTCCCTCTTACTTAGAGGCGTCGAACCGATCGTTCCACTGGAAGAGAGAGAGAGAGAGGGAGATAGCGAGCGAGCGAGGGAGGGAGGGAGGGAAAGTTGTGTTCACCGCAAATGGCCTCAGGAGACCCCATCCCCGCCAATGGCGGCACGCAGGGTGGGCTGACTGTCCCCATCAAATGCCTTGCGGGCCAGGCCGAGACAAACTGGAATGGGCGCGAAGTATCAGCGCAACGTGTGATTGTTCTGGATTTCCTGCCAGCCATTTTGGAGTTACATTGCTGCACGCAGCCGAATTCGCAGATGGGGCACGTTTGCAAGTCTTATAGATGTCTGAGCTTAGACATTTTGACTGTAGTGGCATGAGCTTCAACAGCACAGCAGTTGGGCCGCGTGGCTTTAAGCTTTAAGTGGTGCTCTCGGCGGTTCCATCGGAATGACATTGATGGCTGTCTCAACAGAAGATGTTTGCAACAGTTGCTCTTTCCCGATCTCTGCAGGGGCCCGAATGCCATCGCGTCTTCAACACGATTTGCAACACGGCATCAACTTGCATGTCGTGTGTGCTGACGGAATGGCTCTTGCAAGAACCCCGCAATTGCTCGGTGGTTGTCCTTCCAGAGCAGCAGACCATAAACTTGCACATGTCAGATAGAGTTCTGTTCGGTCTTTGAGGCAGAAAGGTTAAGTGTCCTAACAACTTGCGTCAACAACATTCATGCGCCATGCAAAGAACGCCTCCCTCAGACTTGCACTTGACTTGTTGCATTGTTTCTTGAGTTTGGTTGTCACAAACTCCACAGGGGTTGCCAGATCGTGGTGCCTGACACAGGCTCGGGGTGTGCTGAAAGCCCAGGCGAGTTGCTGCGCGAATGCGGCGATCTGGAGAGACGCTCGCTGCCCTGCAACTTCTGCCCTCGCGAGGCACTTGATCCGGCGTTGGGTCAGTCAAGTTTGCTCTAACAACATTAGACCTTCCAGGCAAATGTTCCCCCCATTTGCGCGTTCCACCAACGGGGTCGGAGCAAGCGCAGGCAAAGCGACAACACGGTTGCGCAACTCTCCGACAAAATTTAATATCCAGGTTGAATCTAAATTGATTGGAAGTATTTTGAATCCTCGGATTTGAGACAAAAACTATAATATATACATATATATATACATATGTTTGAACAGAATTTAATGATTAGAAGTTATGTTTTATTTATTGTGTTTATATTGTATGGAACTATGGGTTATGTTCAAAATTATGTTTAATTCAAGGAATTGTGCTTCGTATAATTACAATTAGAAATTTATATGTATATATATAGAGAATGAATTAGAATATGGGTTTAATAGAGTAAAAGTTTGTGTAGTTAATGGGATTTTAGCTTAAGTATATTGTAGAATAAATTTCTGATAGTTTAGGTTAAAATCTATAAAATATATGGATGTTTAGGGTTTATATAAAATTAGAAAAAATGATGAGTTTTGTTAGGATTTTTAATGAAATTTTAATAGGGTTTTTGGGTTTGGGGATTTTTGGTATGGGGATTTTGGGTAGAGGGAATGGGTGGATGGGTTGGGGATGTATGGATGGATTGCTAATGGATTGGTGGAGGATATATGGTTGGATGGATATATGGATAGAAGATTGATGGGGGGATGGGTGGAGAATAGAGGGTTTGGAAATTAAATGTGATGGGGGTTGGTTGGGGGGTTGTTTGGGCGAATTTTGGGTGTATGGGGGTGGGGAGTTTGGTGTGTGTTGGGAAAAGATTTGGAAAAATTTGGAATTTTAGGGAATTGGATTTTATTTTTGGGAGCATATAATTTTATTATAGCATGTTTTAACGTTATAGCTAATGCGTTGTTTTGGTTTAAGATTTAATTATGTCGAATTATGTCGTTATACGTTGTTTTCGGAAAAGGGTGGGTTGAGTTTCGCGGTGGTAGGTATATTTTTTGGTTGTGGGTTGGTTGTTTGTTTGGTGATGTGTGTTTTATTGTTATTGTTTTGTTTTTGTTTGGTTAATTGTTTTGTTTGTTTGTTTATTGTGTTCGTTTGGTTGGTTGCGTTGTTATTTGGGTTTTATGGTTAAATAAGATTTTCCGTTTGTTATTTATATGGTTTTTTGTTAGCCGAGGGCATTATTTTGCTTTTGGGATTGGGGGGGGGCTTATTTATTTTTTGTCGAAATATTATTGTAAATCTTTTTATAGATTATTAGATATAGGATTCGTTTTCGGTTGGTATTACGAACCCTTTTTTAATAACATCTTTATAGGCGCCGTTTTTTATAGACTATTATAGGATTTATGATGGGAATTATTGAGGATGGATTTTATATGGTGAACAATGAGTGGGTTTTCGGCTAGGCGATCCTGATTTTTTGTTGGATTATATTTTTTTCGAAGCAATGCTTTTAGAGAGTTTAATACTACTCGCACTCTTAGGGTCGTGGGATTAATCGTTTTGATTATAATGATTCTGTTTTCGAGTTGATGAATATTGGTTAATCCGAGGTTTGTGATTCTCGAGATAGTAATATTAATAGCGTATAAATCGACCCCGGAGCCAAATGGTGCAGGCTTAGGATAATCCTATATTGGCTGCGTTAAAGGGTGTGGGTCGTTGTGTCACTTGTAGAGCCGCATAATGGTTGTCTTGCTAGGCTTACCCTAGTAGGCCCTCAGGTTTGCAATGGCGTCTTGGCTGCATGCTCATGTATATGGCCAAAGGCATGCTCGCTTGTTCAGGGTTTAAGGTTTAGGGTTTAGGATTAATCCAAATCCCAGGATAATAAATCACAAGGAGCGTTTCATCCATAGTTATTGGTTGCAAATACCACCTACCCAAGCTTCCATTTTATTGGGCAGCCAAATTTTTGGCGACAAGTTGGAGTCCGTTGCTAAGCGGCTGAATCGCATGCTTTTTAATCGCAAACTATCAGCCACAGGATCTTGGATTTGGACGAAAAAAGCTTCGAATGTAGAGTTTTTGAATAGAAAGTTTCATAATAAGAGTTCGACGAAGCAAGTTGAGCCATGCTAGTAGCGCTGAGTTGAGCCGCGCGCTGGCGCTGGGTGAGAAGCGCTTCAGAAGCAATTCCCATGGCTTGGCGATGATTTCGAGTTCGCAACTAGTTTGCATTGGTGCAAAAATTAGCGACCCCATGTACCATTTCCCAGCCACCGGCTGGCCCTATCTCTCACTCACTCTCCCTTCTCTCCATTGAGGAGAGATAAGGGATGAATTTTAGGATTTAGGCTTCAATATAAAATCGATATTCCAAAAAGAACCTCAAAAATATATATAGTTTTTCGGATTAAAATAGTTTAGGGCTTGGGGTTTATTTTTTTTAGGGTTTGGGGTTAATGGTGTTGTGTTTTTAAGGCTTAGTTTTGGATTTTCATCACTTAGGATTTTTAGGGTTTTGGATTTTTTGGGCTTAGCATTTAGGATTTTGAATTTTTAAGGTTTAGGGCTTCGGGCTTTGATTTTTATTGTTTAGGGCTTAGGGTTTTTGATTTTTCGGGTTTAAGCCTTGGGGTTTTGATTTTTTAGCGTTTGGGGTTTAGGGTTTTGGATTTTTAAGCTTTAGGGCTTAGGGTTTTGAGCTTTTAGGGTTTAAGGCGATTTACAAAAAGAAAATTCAATTATTTTATATAGTTTTTTCGGGTTTATTCGTCTAGTTTCCTCGCGAGCCCCCCGAACTGCCCCCCAGGGCCCCACGAAAGGCTACCGCGCTTTCTTGATTACCGGAAGTGGAAAACCACGGCGCCACGAAAAGCGTTGCGGCAGCCCGAAACAAGCGCGCACGGGAGGAACCGAGCCCGGGACCACCGCTTGTTTAGCGCGCGCAAAATCTGCCCGAATTTGGATTCGAGCAGCAAAACAAATCGGCAAACACAGAGAATTGCAAAGAAAGCTTTCAGAGCGCGCGCCGACTCAGCGCAAAGCGCGCGCCAGGGAGGAACCGAGCCCGGGACCATTCGCTTCAGAGACGGACGTACGACCACTGAACCATCAAGGCCGTCTACGAGGATCCCCGCACCGGTTTCGGCAGCATAGCGCAGACGCTGCAGCAGGCTCAGGCGCGCGACCCCAGCATCTCCAGAGAGGAGGTGAAGGCGTTTCTGGACGGCCTCCGGGCGAACCAGGATCGGCCGCACAAAGGCTACAACAGCTTCGTGCCTCTGGAGCCCATGAACCAGCTGCAGGTGGACCTGGCCGACATGAAGGCCTTCGGGGGCAAGCCCTACCCCTTCATGCTGGTGGCCATCGATGCGCTGACCAAAAAAGTGGCCGCGGAGCCGCTGAAGGACCGTCTTGCGAGCACCACCGCGGCGGGCATGAAGAAGGTGTTCCAAGCCCTGGGGGTGCCGGCCAACGTGTACTCCGACGACGGCTCCGAGTTCAAGAGGGAGTTCAAGGAGCTGATGGATTTCTGGGACATCGAGAAGCAGGTGACCAGGGGCCACGCCTACTTCGCGGAGCGCACCATCCGCACCATCAAGGAGGCCATGTTGCGTCGCATAGCTGCCGGAGCGGGCCGGCGGGGCCAGTGGCACCTCATGCTGCCTGACATCTTGAACCAAATCAACGGAAGGAAGCACGCTACCACGCAGGTGGCGCCGAACCTCGCCTACTCTGACCCCGAAATGGCTGAGATTGCTCTGCGCAACATCGAGCGCAGGGCCAAACACAAGGTGACCCGCCCGGAAATCAAGGTCGGGGATATGGTTCGGATCAGGGTTAAGCCGATCGAAAGCAGGGGCTCCTACAGGGTCAACGAGATAGCCTGGAGTGAAAAGGTATACAGGGTAGCCTCCGCCGAGAGCGGGAAGATGGGGGCGAGGTTTGGCTTGGAGCACAGGGATCTTCGAAAAGTCCCCGAAAACTCAGCTCACCGCAGTCCCGCCAGCGGAGGCTACAGAGAGGCCCCAGGCTCCCACCTCCCTTTTGATGCTCTCTGTGCCTCTATGTCTCTACTCTACATCTCCGACAGCTCCGCCCACCACTCACTGATAAGCTCCTTCACGTCGGGTCGGGGCGGGGGCTTGGGCGGGCCCCCGTGATCTAGGACCGCGTCCCACGCGTCCCACTTCCCGCCCACGCAGCATTAGCCTCAAACCAGCGCAGGGCAAGCTCTGCCCGCTGGGAGCGCGTGGCCTGGCCGTGAACAGCCGCTTCAGAGACGCCCCTCATCTCACTCTTGATTTCCTCCGGGTCCACGCGCGTGCTGCAGCTTGAGAAGCTCGATGCGGGCGCGCTGTGCGAGCGCTCGGCTCAAGCAGCGCATCCTTGCGAGGCGGCCGCTTGGCGGGAGGCCGCTGGGCCATCTGAGCAGCCGCAAGGCAGGGAGCGTCCTCGTCCGCCCACGCGGCGGGCTTTTCCAGAAGCCATGCCTGCACGCATCGGAAGGCCTTGGAGGAAGTCATGATAGCTTAAAGCGGCTGCGCGGGTTTTTTTGAGACCATTTGAGCATGTGGGACCAGTAGAGCATTTGGCGGGCTTTTTTCTTTGTGCGAGCTCTCTCTTTAGAGGGGGTTTCCCAAATGGATTCTATTCTACCTGAGAGGCTCCTGGCACTCGTCCGTCCAGGAAATGACCTCGTCCTGCGAAGGATTCGAAGTCTAAAACGCTGCGCGCAGGCGTCTGGCTGCAAAATAATGATCCCTAGATATGCTTGCAAAATGCCCAGCAGCTGCGTTTCTGCAAGGCGAGCTAAAAAACAGGGAAAAACTAGACGACGAGTGGCCCGGAAGCATAGAGGCAAGTTGACGCAGGTGAGGTAACTCTCGCAAAGTTAGCATGAGGAGTTGGCAGGCAAAGCAATTCTCAAAAAGTTGGCATGAGAAGCTGGCAGGTTAAGTAACTCTCGAATAGTTGGCTGGCAAAGTTGGCGGGTGAAGTAATTCTCGAAAAGTTGACATGAGAAGTTGGCAGGCGAAGTAACTCAAGAGAAAAGTTGGCATGAGAAGTTGGCAGGTGAAATAACTCTCAAAGAGTTGGCATGAGAAGTTGGCAGGTGAAGTAACTCTCGAAAAGTTGGCGTGAGAAGCTGGCAGGTGAAGTAATTCTCGAAAAGTTGGCACGAGAAGATGGCGCGTGAAGTAACTCTCGAAAAGTTGGCGTGAGAAGCCG